CCCCCCCCCCCTCCCCCCCCCCCCGCCGCTGACGCCCCCTCGGACCGCTAACAGGCGGTCAGCGGATCAAAGAAGAAAACTTCGTCGCTGGAAATTTTCAAAGGAGAGATTTGAATCGAGAGAGCGTGGAGGAGACGAAAGAGCGAGAGCAGGCCGCGTCGTATTTACGGCGATGGGAGGCAGGTAACTCTACCGAGCGATCAGAATAAGGAAATGGGCCAGCGCCTTCGTTTGGTATCAAATCTTAATCGAAGGCCCAGAGCCCAAAAGTTCGGATTTAATTAATGTCGTTTGGTAGCGTTAGGTTCTTCCGTCCGATTGGGTCGCTGCATGTGCAATCATGGCCCTTTTGGTACCCGCTTCGGCCCTTTATTTTAATTACGATTGCGTGGCCATTAAAACGTACAAATGATACTTTCATGGGATCTAGGCGCTTGATACGAACTTCTACAGCTTGTTCAATAAAGCGCTTTAAAAATAACTTGGTTCTTTTTCCTGAGGAGGTTTGTTTCCTCCCCCATTCTTGAGCCTTGACTAGGTCCTTTTATCTTCATAAATCCGGATAAATTTTGAAAACAGACCCCTTTGCAAAAATATTCCTAAAAAAGACCCGTTTCCACTTTATTTTTAAAAAACGACCTACTTTTAGTCTCAGTACTGAAACTAGGTCGGTTTTTGAAAAAAAAAAAATATTCCCAAACTTCACGGGAGTTGAACTCTCGTGAAGTTTGAAAAAACTTCACGGGACTTCAACTCCCGTGAAGTTTTGTTTTGAAAAAAACTTCACGGGAGTTCAACTCCCGTAAAAAGTTTGGGAACATTTTTCGCAAAAAAACAACCCAGTTTCAACATTAAGGCTGAAACTAGGTCGTTTTTTACGAATATTTTCAAAACAGGATATTTTTTAGGAATATTTTTTGCAAAGGGGTCTGTTTTAAAATTTTGCCCTCATAAATCCTAAGCCTATGTATCATTATCAAAACATACGTAATTAAACAAAGATATCTATGTACTTGTAAACAACATTGTCCTATGACATACGCGCTTGCGTTTGATGGGAAATGGAAAATCATGAAGAAATCCACCCGTCTAAAACCACCGTGATTTGACACTCAAGAACACAATATATTTTTTAAGATGCTGACATCTCGATACGAGCCTTGTTATGCAAGGGACAGCAACTTCTAATAATGCAATTTAACTTTATTTTAGCGACAAGGAAATCTTGGAGCTGAAGAATTAGAATAAGACATTAATCGATTAGACATTTTTTTGTCAAAAAAGTAGGGGGAGGCAAGAGAGTGCTACTGACAGCTTAACCAACACCTGCTGCCAGTGATATTCTCGTCACGAAAACACGCATCGCTAAAGGTCGAAAGCGTCCGTGTCTTTTTCCTATTTGAAATGCGCGTGTACTACGTTCTTCGAGTCTTCAACGAGTCCTACCATTTTCTTTAAAAAAAAAATTATAAAAAATAAATAAATTTGACGATAAGGGGCTTTGGATGGTTTCCCAAAAATCAAGAAAAGGAAAAGTGTACATGGAAATCAATAAAATATTATTTTTATCCATTTTCATCCCTAAAACTGACCACAACATCCAATAAAATATTGTTTTCATTCTACAACTCATCTCATATCATCTCCTAAAAATAAACTAAACACAAGAAATGAGTCACATCATCCAACTCATCTCATCTTTCATCACATCACATCTTTAAAAACCGCGCGCATCATCCAATAATATGGTGACAACTCATCTCGTCTCATTAACATTTTATTTCCATCAATTTCCTCCAAAAAAGCTAGGAAATCGATTTCCTTAAGTGTAGGTCATATCATCCAATAATATAATAACAACTCATCTCATCTCATCTATTTTCTTAGAATGAACCAAACATAAGAAAAGAACCTATTACAGGAAATAAGTTTCTTATAATTTATTTCCTTAATTTTTTAGCCAACCAAACAACCTCAAAACAAATTTTCTTAAAAAATCACACGCATCATCTAATAATAATGTGACAACTCATATCCCATTCTTTGATTTCCTTCTTTTTTTAGTCAACCAAACAATCTCAAAACAATTTTTCTTAGAAAATAGGTTTCCTATTATTTGACTTCCCTCTTTTTATCGTGTTATGTACATCTACACTTGTGTGTTCTGTTCCTTCCTTTAGCAAGCCCTGGCTCATCGTCCCCACAAAAATAGTACCGAGGAAGTGATTCCGTCAACTCTTTCAAGATTGAAGGGGCACCGTTTTCACCACAAAGTTCGGTAGTAAGATTATTGTATTAGGATCGAAATTGGGGGTAAATTTTTGAGTTGTACATTGGCTAGAGCCACAGTGCATAATCCAACTCAGCTAAAGTGGAAAGTATCTCAACAAAGACGCAAGAAATAACTATTATGTTTGGTGGGTGCCAGAGTCATCAGCCATCTAAGCACAAGTTTTCTAGTCTTATTACAAGAAAAATAACTATATATTAAGGCGAGCAAACCATTGTTAGGTCACTTAATCATCAATTAGCACAAAGAAAACACAACCGGGGGTGGGGTTAAAAAAAAAAAAGAGGGTATCAACTGGCTGAACTCTTCAGGGTCTTTGATTATCAAACTTCCATTTACAACAGAGTTCATAATAAGCTAGTTTTCCACGAAAAGAAGTCTAAAAAGCTAAGTAAAAAAAAAGCAGGAAATAAGGGGAAACGCATAGAGAGAGAGAGAGAGAGCATCTTTTCTGCGTAGACTCTTTATCATCTTTGCTCCTTGATTCCTCCTTTTCTGCCAAGAGACCCTGCAAACAAAAACCATCGTTCAGTTACTAGTTGAAAGCGAGTAAATAAAATTTATCAACACTCTGAGACTGCTCTGCTGGCAATTGAAGAAAAGCACAGATAGGTAGGTAGAAGAGCGAAGGGGACTACAGAGAAGCAAGAAACATGTGATACAAAATTCCAAAACAAAATAACCAGAAAGAAGAGCGAAGGGGACTACAGAGAAGCAAGAAACATGTGATACAAAATTCCAAAACAAAATAACCAGAAGCATGAATGCTGACATTCAACTTATACCATTACAAAAGAATTATTAATTAATAAAGTAACAGACATTCAAATTTTCAAATTCGATAAACCCATCACCTTCATTGCATTTATAAGAAGGAAGTGGACATTCAGAAAACGAATGCAAAACATCCCACAAATAATTAATGAGAACCCATAAATACTAAATAATAATCATATAATTCAATTTCAAACTGAATAAAGAAATCTATATCAATTTTCCGAACTGACAAAGGGAACAGAGAATGGAACAATCCGAATCTTGAGTACCACAAGCCTATTCACTAGATAGATAGATAGACACATTAAAAAGCCAGTTCAAACTCCCAACAACCCCCTCCATTTCAAACCCCACCTAGCGAACGCCGATCTAAATCAACTCAAAATTCCATCTTCTCAGCCACTAATTCGATAAAAAGACCAGAGATGTCATAAAAAGAAACAATACCCATTAAAACAATTCAATTAAAAATCATTTTACAACCCATCAAAATCCAATGTTTTTTAACTCACCTCCAACCTCATCCAAAACCCCATAATCGTTACACTCCGGCGGCGTCTCAAACAAACTCATCGACAACTGTTTATGAGCAAGTCCAATATCAAACATAATCACTCCAGACTCAGGATTCATGTTAAAAATCCCCTTGACAGGCAACCAAACGAAGAGCTCCTCTTGCTTAAACCCATCAACTCGTTTCAGTACTCCGTAGCTTAACTTTCCGGTCACCACCCAGTCAAAGTAAGTGAGGCTGTCGTATTTGGCATAGCAGGGTTTTTCGAGGTGGGCTACGAGGAGAGAGGTTGAGGGGTCGAAGGTGAAGTTGGTTATGGATTTGGGGAGGAGACCAGGTGGAAGGTTGTGAGCTTTGAGGAGGTCATGGATTGGATCACCTCTGGTAAAGATAGGGAGGAGGAGGAGGAAACAAGAGAGAGAAAGGAACTCCATATGAGAGAGAGAGAGAGAGAGAGAGAGAGAGAGAGAGAGAGAGAGAGAGAAGGGGGGAGGTGGGTTTAAGGAGGGGTTTGAGAGAGAGAGAGAGAGAGAGAGAGATTGCTGGAGAAAAGTTCCCTGAAAAAGGGAATTTTTTTTCTTAAGGTGGGGGCTACATAGACTAATGGAAAAGTTCGGAACTACCAAAGTACCCTTTCGCAACGTATTGGAAACAGGGGAAAAGAGGAAAGTAACTGGCAGGCAGTGGTGATTAGTATAGAGCAATCCAATTATTCAAATGATTTTGTGCCTAGATTATTTCTTTCTTTTTCTGTAGAAGGATATTTTTATTACATAGAAAATAATGATTGTCCATAAGAACATAGATAACCACCCATGAAACCTGAAAACAATTAAAGCTTCTATTTGAATGAAGAAGCTTTGGTTTAAAATTTTAGTTAGAAGGTGACATGAAGAATATGAAGTGTAATTTTGAACATTCAACAATTATGATTCAAAATAATTGTTAACTTTCTTATGAGCATTGGTTCTATTAATTCTTGAGGGTTACTTGTTGTGAAAAAAGAAGAAGAAAAAGTCAAGTGTCAACTAATGTCTTCACAATTAATAAAAGGGCGATTTTGTCACTTTAGATATCTAACATGGAGATATTACAGTTACTAAATTGAGAAGCACAAAGTGAATTCAGTGTTGAGATTTGAAAATTGGCTTTTTCTTTTTCGGCATGAAGAAGTGAGAGAGACTAGCAAACTAAAGGGAATAGAATCTTGGCAAGGATTGGAAGACAGAAGCCAGAGTGGTCCACTAGAAACAAAAAGGGTGGAAATTCCAAAGCTTTAATTTGTTAAGCCAAGGAGCACCCCCAATCATTCATTCTGAACTCTCTGTGGTTATGCAGAATGATAGCTTAATTTAAATTAAATTACTCAGGAGCTCCCCCAATCGGTTTCTCTTCTTCTTAATTACTTATTACATGATGCCAGTCTGCAATTTTGGTCAAAGGTATTAGGTCTATGATACATCTTTGCCTTCACCTATTCAACCATCTATAACTACTACTAATCAAACATTCCCATTAATACTTAGACAAGTGAGCATATACCCATAACATCTAAGTTCCTCACTTTTTTAACTTCTTTATTTTACAAAGCCATAAGGGCACTGTTAGTACTAGTCCATTAATCCACTTTAGTTCGGGTCTCCAAGCGGGATACCCCCATTATATTTTAGAAAACAAATCCTTCTGTCTTGGCTTTAGCTCCCCTGTAGAAGATATCCCGCAATCATTGAGTTTGACATTCTTTACAAGGAATTATTATTTAAGAGGGCAAAAGATTAATCGATTAGTAAATAGGCCCCAAACAAAGATAGACAACTCAGACTCCAAATAAACAACTCAGGCTCCTATCATTTTCCTTTTGAGACTAGAATCACATACTCGACACTTACTAACAATACCAAAGTGTATTTCATGACTCGGTTTAACACTTACTCAACTAGGTTCAATACAAACTTAACGGTTCAATACAAACTTAATAACCTCCATCATAACTCATGTCAGCATAGATTTTTCAGATAAGTAGCAGGGCAAAATTTTACCACCACTCATGCAGTAATCATAGGCCCTACTACCAATCATTAAGGAAACAGATGAACAAGTCTTGAGAAATGATCAGGAAACCAATTTTGTCAAAAGATTAATCAATTGGATCTTATTATATCATAGAGTAGCCATTGTTTTTCGACAGGACAGTTCAACTAGCACACACCAACTCCTTCGGATATCATCAATTTGGTGCATTTATTAAGGGCCTCTAGGCACCTGCAATTCAATCAGATGAGAGCATGATTCGCATTTAAAATGTAGGACCTAAGAGGCAAGAATTTGAAGCGTGATGTGTTGTATACTATGCAGACAACACTGAGAGATGCACAAACAATGACCCTGCAGACTATTTGGGCAATTTAGGAACTAGAACTTATAAATGAATTGAATCTGGAGAGCAATTTCACCCTTCATTTAAGGTAGGATAACTGAAGTAAGTAGACCAAAGGAGAGTACCCTACGCCCACGTTAATTTCACCTTTGCAACAATAACATAGGGGTAAATTTTACAAAACCCTCCAATATTTTAGGGCGTTTCACACAATACCCCCAAGAACTTTGTTTTTCCCGTTAAATACTCAAAACTTTTCCCACGAAAAGCCCCACTTGTCAGGCAATTTACAAAACAGAAACTCTCCCTCACCCCCACCCCCCACCCAAAAAAAAACATACTATGAGTGGGAGGAAAGAGGGAGGGAGAGGAGGGTTTTCTTGCAAATTTGCAAATATGAGGTTTCCTTTTGACAAAAAAGCTAAAAATGAAAAAAAAAGTATTTGTTTATGCTCTGGGGCATTTTGTCACTTTGGGGCTTACGTGAGAAAAGTTTTGGGTGTTTAGTAGGAAAAGCTTGGGCGTATTGTGGAAATCGACCCTATGTATTGAGTTTTTTCTGAAATTTCCCATAATATAGTTATTTACACATTAATAAATACTTTAAATCAATAGATTATACGAGAGTAAACCAACGCTGAACATGAAGACAAACAAATAACAATGGTTGCCTTGTTGGCCCAATCCACTCGTTGATGTTACTAACTCCTAATGCGTTGGCTATGACTCGAATTCCAACTTTGACTTGCCAAAAGGAGTGATGTCCCAAAAGTTTAAAGAAAAGGAGATACAGTGTTAAAAGGTCAAAAGGAGTTTAAAAGACCCAACAGCTCATGAATACAAGCAAAAGAAGTTGATCAATATATCAGTAATATGTGCTTCCTACCCAGTTCAAGACGAAACAACTACTCGTAGGGATGAACAAATTAATCTTCTCTTATTAGGTAATGATTCTTTGTACTTAAAATAACTCATCTTCACTTCTATACTCTGCTGCACACAAGTGTATCCCAATCATTAAAGAATAAACAATCGAAAGCATCTCTCAAGTAACTAGAATACTCGGATGCACACAAGTGTATCCCAAATAAGACAGCAACTAGAATACTCCAAAAAACAAACTAAGGAAAAGAAAAATGCCTCTCGTTTTACCTAATATCAATAGGAGATTACCTTAATTGGACCAAATTATGAAAACTGAGGAAAGAACATGAGCACAAGGGCTCAAAGCAGAACAGAGCACGAGGATAACTATATAAAAATACAAGGTAATGAGAAACTCATTACACTCTCTAAATTAGCGCAACGTATGATAGCAAGACGATAACTTTCAACCATAAGAATCTACTCTTCTTCCACTCTGCGTGTCATGCGCTTGTCCTTCTCATATCATAATTGAAGGTGGTACTCTTAGCATAATGTGCATGAAAGTAGTGCCAAGACTTAATGAATTAACAAAATATGATGTCTAGATATCATGATTTTCAAAGGCTAAAACAAATACAGCAAGAATTGAGAACTTAGCAAAATACTATGTCCAGAGATCATGATTTCGAATGCATAATGCCAAATCTTGTGTTTACCTTATGAAGATGCTGATTCAGTCCGAGGAGCTGCTGGCTTTGCTTTTCTACGTTCAGGGGGAGGACCATCTCTTCGTCTCTCATACCTTCTGCTCTCATATTTTGAACTGTTTCTTTGCTTCGGTTGGTAAGTTGGGTACTTGCATGGGATTATCTCGCCATTTATATACTTATCACCTGAATAACAAAGAATATTGAGAACTTAACCACAAATAAATTACAATAAGAAGTTTAATCACCGAAGGTGCTAAGGCCAACCTCCATAATCCTTATTCTTAACATCAATGTAGGAATCTGGGAGTACCCACAGGACACCCGGCAATCCTGCAAACACATAAATAAATTTAGAAACAATATAGAAAAGAAAATCACACAAATATATTTGCTTACAAACATATGCTGACCTTTGAATTTCTCTGATGTCTCTTCAGACACAGTACACTGGAAGCCAGTGTAAGTAGTAGTACTGAAAGCATACATATTCTTCTTGGCTTCCTCCATGCTGTGAAGGAAACAAGGACAGTATAGAATAAGAACGCAAAGTAATTATAGCAAATTTGAAGAATGTGAGATCAATTACATGGCAAGAAATGAAATACCCAAAGAAAACAAAGCTTTTGTCTCTATAACCCTATGAGTTTACAGATTCTTATTCTGCAAGTGAGTACCCAGATGCTTGAAGAAAACAGTATGCAAGTGTTTACATGATTCAACAACCCCTCTGACTCTGTACATGGCTATTTCTTGCCATGAAAGCCCGGTCAAATAAAGAGGAGCATTGGTGTTGATTAATATAAAATTAAAAAAAATCAAAATCCCTATGTGAATATGCTTCATTTGCGTGGTTATATGCTTCTGAGCATTTTCAAGCCCTCATCATCCAACTGCACATGCACATATGACAAGAAACAATTGTTATATGCTTGCACTCATTACTCGCAAACAGATATGCACGCGCATACAACCCCCTAAGTTCGATCAAAGCAACGGAAATACTTCATATAATAGAAGATTGCATAATATTCTACCCTAATATTCCTCATCGACAATCTAATAGATTGATTTAATACTATGTATAGTGCAAATAAAATGCATCTCCTTAAACAAGGAAAAAGTTTAAAAGCTCTGATGCAGCTATCTTTGGGTAGAACATAAGGATTATAGTGTAGAGCTTTTACACAAGAAATGGTAAGAGGAAAAAGGCGAGGTCCAAAATGAAATCAATTATCAATCTAAGAAACACACTAGAAAAGAAATTTCTTGTTTACACTTCCTATTCTGTTCAGTGTATAAAAGCTCCATAAAGATACTATGAAGTACATTCAGCACAACGTTTTGTGCAAAATCGATTTAAACTTCTTGGGTGCTCCATGTTTTTGTCCAAAATCAATTGCTAACTAACTTAACTAGATAAAAGCAAGCATTACAAATTGTAAATCAAAGATACTGAAAAAAATATCTAAAGAATAACATCATTCATTCTACTGTAACAAGAAAAAAAGGTTCAACCGAAGAACAAAAAGCAACTAGTGCATACAGAGAGTTCATATATGATACACAACCTTCAAACTAGACATTGATTCAGCAAAAAAGTCTACAGTTTGTCTTAAAAGAAACTAACTTTAACCTAATTTTCTCCATGAGCATGACAAAATCAAATCAAAAACATTACAATAAAAAACAAATAATCAAGAATGCTCAACTGGGCGATCAAATTCTCGGCTACCTTCCAAGGACAGTGGCAAGGGTGTTGAGGTAGGTCTCAATCATCTGCTCCCTCGTCGGCGCCGGGTCTTTGGGGAACTCCATGACGATAAGCCAGTGGTTGTAATCGCAGCCCGGCAGCATAATCGTCTCCCTGGGCTCGTCGTTGCTGTTGTTTCTGTTCACGGCCATCGCTTTGATGGTTGGTCGGTTTGAAACCCCCATGGAGGGTCGTTTCTTGAGAGGGAGGGGAGCTGAGGGGTTGAGACGAGAAGGGTTGAGGGATCTCGGGTTGGGGGTGGTGGAGGAGGGGATTAGGGATTTGAGGTGGAGGTACGAGGAGGAGGATGAGGAGGTTAGGGTCGCCATTGGAGGAGAGGGAGAGGGAGAGGGAGAGCAAGGAGGATGAAGATAAGGGGGGGATTTAATTAGCCAGGGTTTTGAGAGAGAGGCTAGGTATTTATATTTGACTAAAGATATTTTTGAGGGGTTTTCTCTATCTTTTTCCAAATTGCAGATAACACCCTCATCTATAACTATGGTGACGGTTACCACCCTTCACACCCATGGATTGCCATTTTCAGAGACATTTACCTGATAAACTAGCCTGATCCTTCATAAAAGTAAATCTTCTTCATATTTTTGGAAGAAAACCCGTCATCAGAGTTTTAAAAAAGGATATTAACCCTGACATAACTTTCCACTGCATGAAGATTCTCAGTGGTTTAGCATCATCATAATACAAACATGACCATCTTCAAGCAACTGAAACAGCCCCAGCTCAAAGAGCAAACAACCGATGACCCATTTTACTAATCACGCGGCTTACAGGACACAGCACCGTAACTAACTCTGACAGGTATGTATGCGTTAAATGTGAAATAAACCCGCATTTACTACATGACGATAGTAACACGTGACAGTATATAGCGTCGCAAAAGACTGGAAGTATGGAGCAGATCAGGATGAGCCCTTGAGTTTCTTGGCGACGCTGGCAAAGTACTGGCCCTGATGGAACGCTTGCTTCAGCTCTAGCTCAGTCGGAGTTCTTGAACCATCACCCGCGAAAGTTCCAGCACCATAAGGACTTCCTCCCTTCACTTGCTCCATCTCGAACATTCCAGCACCAAAAGTGTAGCCGACAGGGACAAACATCATCCCATGGTGAACCAGCTGAGTAATTGCTGTAAAACTGCAGAAATTTTAGCACATGTTGGTCAAGATGTCGAGTGTCTTCGGTAATTTTCCTAACAGGCAGCCCTAAATGTAGACATACGTGAACGTGAACAGATTTGGGATATGTGGAATGATGTGGACTTTACCGAGTGACCGTTTGAGTTGAGGGTGAAAATTTTCACATTTGCATAGAGGGTACTAACGTGCCTAGTTTTAAACAACTTAGGGCGTGTATATAAATGCTGCGGAAAACAAGTGAGTGCTAGTATCTGAGTACTGTTAGCCTAATGGTAGGAGTGAACGTGATGAAGCGGCTTACGCAGTAGTCTCCTGTCCCCCACCCTGGGATCCTGTGCTGAAGAAAATCCCCGCAGGCTTGCCAGCAAGCTGCTGGCTTCCCCAGAGGCCTCCGGTTGAATCCAGAAAAGCTTTGAACTGTGCTGCCATCATTCCAAATCTAGTTGGGAAACCAAAGATAATTCCATCAGCCTCAACAAGCTCATTTGCTGTGATTGCTGGTGCTTCACCCTTGGGAGGCGCGCTCATCTTTGCAAGCACCTCTTCAGGGAGAGTTTCAGGTACCTGTTTCACAAATAGTGCATTAATTTCTCTTCGTTTAGTTTCAGGAATGGTGCATAACTGTAGAAAATGTTTTAATAAGATGAGACTACACTTAATTAGTATTGGCCTACTAATTTCCTCTAAAGACAGGATGACTAGAATTGAATATATGCTTTCAGCCCATTTGACATTCTTTACTCAAGAAACATAGTTATGGTTCAGGTAGTGAACACAGACCTGCCATAGCTTAGCTTCTACTCCTTCGACGGATGATGCACCTTTTTTAATCTCCTCTGCTAACTTCTCAACATGCCCATACATTGAGTAGTACCTGCACAACCAGCACTACTTATATAAGCCTCGTCAGCGTGAAAATTTGGTTTCTTGCACACGGGATGCACATGAATTTGAACTACAGCTTATCTGAAGTTTAAGAGAATGTCTCTTCGAACTGAAATTTTCTTAAGAGTCGGGGGCGCATAATTTTGTAAGAAGCATCTTTTCTTCGCAACAATGCATCTTTCAATTAAGAGAAGTACTGATGGATATTACCCATGCCGTGCATGTGTCAGCAATAAGTGGAAGTCATGCACAAGGGCCACAAAACATGTCATCACATTCTCAAAATCTACGATATTACATTTATAAACTAAATCGCGAGACAGCACAATAAGCGCAATTATACAAGGTACTAGGGAGACATTTTCTCAGTGTCACACACGAGAACGACAAAGACAGAAAAGATAGAGCTTAATGCTAGAAAAGCGTCAAAGAAAATCTAGAGCGCCAGTAATAATAAACACACACCTAAGGTGACGATGGCGACCGAGGGATTCTAACCATATGACAATGTTCCGTAGAATCAAACTGCAGGTACCAGCCTTGACTGCTAATTTACAGAGCAAAACCTCATCTTTTGCTATTTACTTCATCTTTCTTGGGCTTTAACTTACGAAATTAATCACGGGGTGGGTGATTCTACTGATAAGGAGAAAATACTCTGAATACTTGAAGTCTGGCCCTATATTAGCTTCTCATTCTCTGTACGAGTAGAAGGCGTACCCATAAGGGTTGGACAATGCAGAACAACCCATGCCATGAAATAAGTGTATGGCAAGCCAACCTTTGGGTTCTCGTTACCTCGACAAAATTGGTAACATAAACTCCGCAATCCATAATGAATGCGGACGATCATAGTAGGAAGAAGGGCATAAGAATGGCCATGCGCTAAACATACGGCAAGAAACACCACTTCCATTGGTAGCAAATCAAAGTTTCCAGAAACGACGACGACTTGATGAAGCCACAACATGAGATATCCTGCCAGCAGCGCCTTAGAAAAAATAGGCTCCCCACTTTGAAAGAAGTAACTCTCAAAAGTGGTACCAACAGGGTAACCTTGTTCATCTGATTCCGATACCCGATGCATGAGAGGATAAGTAAGTACCCGTCGCGACAATTCACTCGCGTCGCAAGGACCCAAGGGAACCACGGGGTCATTTTTATGCTCCAAGTTCTTGAAGAGATATCGGGCCCAGATGTTATGGCTAAGGAGTCTTTCACCCCTCTTATTGAGCCATCCCTCCACGTTCATACAAATGTGGTAGTGACACATTACTTCCCAAAAGGTCTCTACCACTTGGGATTGTTCCTTCTCTAAAACAACTAACTCTCGTTGACCTGGGATATACTCCTCATACGGGTAGTTCCCGTTCGGCAGCCCGGAGACTTCTTCCATCTCATGAAGAACAATCCTTATTTCTCCATCAGGAGTAAAGAAATTTACGGGTTGTAGGATTATTCAATTCCAAAATATCAAAGAATTGGTGGGAGTTATTGATCAACCCGAATTGTGTCGCCCTGATGGGCGCATAAAGACCAAACTTTTGCAGGTCTTCTTGATTCTCCCGCAAAATGTATTCGGTGATACGATGTCACCATTGTGTAGGACTCCAATGAGACCAGCCTGGAGTTCTAAAGTCTTTAGCAGGGAATTGACCATTTTTTCTAAAGAACGCACGACCAAAAGTGTTAGCCTTTTCAGCAGTCTCACCAATCGGGAGTTCTTTTTGAAAAAGCTCAGGGTGCAATCCGATGATGTAACGACCACCACTATCTATCTTGGCGCCGCTACGAAAAAAGTGGCTACATATGACCCCATCTTGTACTGGGGTTAAATCCTAATCCATTCTCCTGGGAGCCGAGACAATCTTCAAAGCAGTAAGAGAGACGTCACGCTCCATCCGAAGTAAGAACAAATTTCACCCGTTTACAGTTCTAAGCCATTCGTATGTCCCGATATCCAACAAATCAGGATCCTCTGAAGAGTCTCCGAATAAGAGAACATGCTTCACAATAGGTTCACGATTGATAGACTCTAAGGGAGCATCAATGATCATACGCCTAAATGTGGAAACTGAAGGGTCAGAAAGAAGATCCACTTTTTCTAGCCCCCGTTCTCCGAACAGCGGAATACTCTCAAGAGCAGAATAATGAGGATGAATGGCAATCGTCTGAGTACCATCCGCTCCGAGATTGCCACGTTGAGGAAGTGGAGTAGAAGGATATATGATTGCACAAAAAGACAAACAAGATTAGTCTCAAGCAGTAGTCATGGTAAAATAACACGAAGGTCATTCTGGCAACGAACGTCGAAATTCATTCGAATAATGAACCTCGATAGGGATAACGAGGTTCATCAGTTCAGCAAGGTTCGTTGGAGAACACGAAGTTCATCATCTGAAGACAAAATTCGCCAATCCAACGAACGTGGTCGATGAAAAGACGAAGCTCATCATATAAACGAATTTTGTTTAACAATTCTAGAGGATGACCCTCGTCAAAATAGCCAACGACATTGGATATGTGAAGTGCAACTTACAAATAAGGCTCATCGAAAGATGAAACAAGTCATAGAGATGAGAATCATCGATGACGAGCCTCATCCAGCCAAAAAGACGTCATCTTTATGATGAGTCTGGAAGAAACTGTTCATCTTCCTCAAGAAACCCAAGTCTAAAATAGACATGGTTGACATCCCTCAGAACATAAATCATGCGTTTAAGATCTATTACCTGAAAAGGTGGGTAGAACGCCAGGTTCGTGCGAAGAGCCAGCAACCTTCTTGCCCTTACTCTTGCTTCGGTCTACAGCGGTCTTAGGGGCCATTGATTTCGCTTGAAGGACTTGTGAAGAAAGAAAGATCAGAATTTTGAGAAGAAAAGGAGTTCAGATAACCCAAACGACGAAGAGAGAAGAAAGGACTTCTCATATTATGATACCCTAATTATAGGGGTGAGAAAAGGGTCGAATCAAGGATCACGATCTTCAGTTAAGGTCGTTTGACGAGATCTATCGCCAATAAGATCTACGGACGGGATTCACGGGGATTTTCAATCACCAGCTGGCAACCATTCGCTAGGTCTGGGAAATATGCATAGCAGTGGTGCTGACGAAGCTACGAGGGGTCATTTGTCAGACGTTTGTTATTCTGACAAGGCTTGTATAAAGGGACAGACTCCAGAATGAACCTCAAAGTAACTTTCGCAAACACGAGGTTCATGTCAAAACCAGGCTCGTGAAATAAACTCCTCAGGTTCGAGATACTTATTCAAAGTATTTCAGACTACATACAACACGATTCAAGTCTAAAAACTTTGAAGGGGGTTTTGTAGGTATTAAAAAATGCCAAAATTCGAAAGGTGAAAAGAATGGTCAGGGAAACGAACCCCCTTTCAATCAGAAGCGATGTTCATTGTTTAGAAAAGATCAACCTCAAGAACGAGAGTCACCATGCAGCAGAACTCAACATTGAAAGATAAAGTTCATTATTGAATAAAACGGATCCACGAGACTCGGAGCTCGTCATTGGATACGAGGTTCGCTAGTGGATATGGAATTCGGAGCTCATCATTGGATACGAGGTTCGAGGTTCACTAGTGGATACAGGGTTCGAAAATCGTTATTGGACACGAGTTGAACTATAGCTATCAAAGATGGAGCTCGTCATCGGATACAAGGTTCAAGGCTCGTCATTGGATACGAGATTCGGAGTTCATCATCGGAGGTGAAGTTCGTCAATGAGAACAAAGCTTGTCATCAGATTTAAAGCTCGTCAGTGAAGACGAAGCTCATTATTAAAGAAGCTCACGAGGTTCGCCACGCAGCGAGGCTCGACATCAAAGACGAGGCTCGCCACGCAGTTGTTGGCCTTCTTGTTTTGATGATGTTTAACAAACAATTTATTTCTAATGTTGTTTGTCTAGTGTTTGTGTTTTCGTATTTATTCTAGGCAAATAACGGGTTGGAGGATGGATGGAATCAATCTTTCACGATCATATCCAATGGAAGTTGGCGGAATAGTGGAGTGAAGCCTTGCTATCAAGTTAAAGATCTAATTACAAGCTTCATCCAAGTTTACCAAGTTGAGCTACAATGAAGATCAAGATCAAGCTTGAGTAACATTTAGTTTAGGTGTTTATATTATGTGTGTTAGTACTTTAAGCTCAATCATATACATACATACACGTTTTGGTTTTGTATATATATAGTTATATATATATACATATATGTTTTGGTTTGATAGTTTTCAAGTTTTAATATGAAACAATCAAATATAATTAGAAAACATATTTTTGTTTCATACTTATATGCATATATATGATTTCATCAATATCAATTTTATTTAGTTCAATGAAATCATGTTTTAGTGCATTATATGTGTATTTTGATAAAATACTACATTCATTGTTTATAGACTTCATAACAATAGTTTACATATCTCTTCAAGTCTATAAAACCATTTTGTAAAGTTTTAAAATATGGTTTAGGCAAAATGTCAAAATTCATATGTTTACATTTTTATGTTTTTGGACTATTTTGCAAAATGATGATATTTCTCAAAGTTTTATATTTTTTGGAATTTATTTGATATTTTTAAACATGGTTTTAAAATCAGAAAATCAACTTTCAAACCTATTTTCTCATATGTCAGTTTACGGTTGACCGCCACGGTCGACCGCGCCTTTGTTTTTACCTGCGGAGCCATCAGCAATTTTCGCGGTCGATCGCCACGGTCGACCGTCAGCTCAAAAATTCCCACGGTCGACCGCCAAAGTTTCTGAAAATTTTCCAAGTTTTAAAAGTGGCTCGCGGTCGACCGTGAGATTTTCACGGTCGACCGCCGTTCACTCCAACGACTATTTTTGTACAGAATCTGTAACTTGCTGATTTTTGTCTTTTAGTGGTTTTTTGGGTTTTTAGGGTTGTTTTCTTCTACCCTATATATACCCCTTTGCTATAACTATTTTCATCATCCAAGATGT